AAGAATAAATCCCAAAATATGCACACCAGAAATTCCATTCGTTGTCACGTATAATCCAAAAAATCACATCTTCAACATTACGGAACATTGCCTGCCCATACATCAAAAATAAAAAAAATCTGAACGACCTTATTAAGGAGAAGGATTTCATTTATAGTAGAAGACAACCACCAACTTTGAAAAAAAAATCCTCATTAAAGCCAAATTCACTTCTACAAAGGAAACGTTTACGGTTTCAAAATGTGACGATCCGAGCTGTTGAACTTGCGATTTCATACAAATTGGATACTCGTTCACATTCAAAAATGGAATTAATTTTAAAGTTTAACATAATATGAACTGCAAATCCAGGAACGTCATATATTGCATGACCTGTCGGGATTGCAGAGAAAATTACATTGGCAAAACAGGTAATAAAATATCCGAGTACACAAACAGCAGATAAGGAACCCTTCCATAAGAAATACTCCGTGCAGCGAACATCTTGAACAATGCGGTAAAAGACTTTTTAGTATCTCTCCGTTCTATAAAGTTAATGAGGAAAATGAACAGTTACGGCGGGCAAAAAAAAATATTTCATTGATAAATTTAAGCCTAAACAGATAAATATTTTGATTCAATCAATAACTGTTAATATTGTTTTTTATATTCAAATTATTGATTTAAATATTATTGTGTAAAAATGTATCATTTACCGTGTCAAGTCTACTGTAAAATCACATATTTCATGGGGTCAAATTTTCGAGGTTTGAGGAAAAAGTCTTGGTTTGTAGGGATTTGATTTCGTGGATGGAGAATGTTTAAGTAGTAATGTATATTAAATTTTACATTTCGTGGTGGTCATAAATTCGTGGGTCTCTCCTTGCCTCGAAAACAACGAAAATTAAACCCCAACGAAAATTAGTGATTTTACAGTATTTATTTTGGCGCTTTCTTCGGACATATTTGCGCCAACTTTTGACGTTGTTCTTTATCTATAACTTCATAATAACGACGTTATCATATTCAAAATAAATTTATATATATATATATATATATATATATATATATATATATATATATATATATATATATATATATATATATATATATATATATATATATATATATATATATATATATATATATATATATATATATATATATATATATATATATATATATATATATATATATATATATATATATATATATATATATATATATATATATATATATATATATATATATATATATATATATATATATATATATATATATATATATATATATATATATATATATATATATATATATATATATATATATATATATATATATATATATATATATATATATATATATATATATATATATATATATATATATATATATATATATATATATATATATATATATATATATATATATATATATATATATATATATATATATATATATATATATATTCAAAGTAAAACTAATTTTTAAAAAATAATACATACCCTTGGTCTTGTCTGAAATTAAATACAAAACATATTGATTCTTTCGAAGACAAAACAATTTTTTCAAGAATAATAAACTTCTTGCCATAAATGATTGTTCCAAGAAAATGTACAGATTCAAAATTTTAGTTATTATATAGCTAGTTTTCTTGGCGGGTGTAAAGCTTGGTGCTTTGCTATATCTGCTATATGGTGTACGTAACAACTATTTGGCGTAATTTATTTAAGCGGACAAATGGTTCTAATACGAGGATTGATCCAAAATTAATGTAACTTTGTCAATATCTTTAATATTTGGCGTCATATTATCAAATAGAATATACCAAAAGATGCATAAAAATTTGATAATAATATACCAAAAGATGCATAAAAATAAATCTAATCAAATTTGAAAATTTCATTTAATATTGCTTACTTGAATTAATTTTATAGACGTTGAAAATATCAAACATATGGGGTGTTGCCACGTCACAACTAAACGTCACGTTTCAAAGTGTAAATTGTTAGAATGAAAAAAGACAAACACAATAAAAAGCATCTAATAAAGCGTCTAATCGCCTAATATTTTTAAAAGCCAAAATTTTACGACATATTCTAGTCTTAAGTGGGCGTCTCAGAGAAAACCAAGCAATATAACAAAAATGGTCCATCAGCTTACATCTCAAATATTTTAATACTGGTATAAAACTGGAAGAGCATTTTATGAAAGTCCAAATTTTGCATTCAATTGCCCCTCAAATGTTGTTCTATTTTAAGCTTTGACCTACTATATATATTAGCCCAATGACCCTTTGAAAATTGTGAAAAAAAACTTAAAACGATACATTTTGAGTACCAAAATATTAAAAAAGAGAACAATTCTTACAAACTTTGGATTTATATTTAAGGTAATTCCACCCTCCTATTATATCATAGGTTTTTACAAAAACTGTTATTAAATTAAATTCATACCCAATAGAACAATATATTTTGGAAGAATGGTTTTCCATAAGTGTAATGATAAATATTGTTAAGTAAAAGAAATTAAAAATGCACACTTTCTTTTGTTTAATCAATTATTTAATATTTTAAAAAAATGTTTACAAGGGCAATAACTCCTACTCAGGAAGCTTCATTCAGGCATTTTCTTTATTGTGCTTCTAATGTAAAATAGTTTCCCTGATATTCACAATTCAATAATATCTTATATGAAGCAAGTATTTAGGAACTTTCAGCATCAGAATTATGCAATTTAATCTGTTTTTACATAATATTTATGATACTGTATATATGATAAAAAATGTACGATTTATTATGTTGGCATATATGCTTCTGCTTATTTACGTCTCCCATCTTAAATAATATGGCGACCTATACATTTTTTGAAATAATTGGTAAATTTAAACTTTATTGAATGAAAATAAATTTAATTTTTGTACTTCAAACCATTACAACTGTAAGGGTGAAAAGACGCTTAGTTATCTATAACTTATTTTTTCAATAAAACAAAGTTGCTTTGACAGTACTGCTTTTATTAAGGTTAGGCAGAATTTAGAATACTGGCATACACATGTAACTGTAACTTTGCTAGATGCTTCAGAAAGTGCAAAATAAGGATAAATATACCCGTAAACGCTTGTATTATCTCCTTTTCACAAGATTATAAAAGTAGAAGACCTAATTCGAATCTGGAAAAAAATCATCTTTGAACTTTCAAAGATTACTGCACAATTGATACACATAGATGAAATAAGCACATTCTAGGTCATTCTTGAATTTATTTATATTCTAGACATTTAGACCCTAAAACCTATTAAAAATTTTGAAGTAATTTTTTAAAAAAACAAGAGGCACATGGGCCACATCGCTCACCTGAGAACCTTTGTTCTTTACCAGATTTCCCCTTTGTAATACATATTGTGACCCCACCCTACCCCAATGATCATAATTTAGACAATTTGAAATCTACACTACCCCAGGATGCTTCCACATAAGTTTCAGTTTTTCTATCCCAGTGGTTCTTGAGAAGAAGATTTTTAAAGATTTTTCCTATATATTTCTATGTAAAACATTGATTCCCCATTGTGGCCCCGCCCTACTCTCGGGGGACATGATTTAAACAATTTAGAATCTACACTACCCCAGGATGCTTCCACATAAGTTTCAGCTTTTCTGGCCCAGTGGTTCTTGAGAAGAAGATTTTCAAAGATTTTTCCTATATATTTCTATGTAAAACATTGATTCCCCATTATGGCCCCGCCCTACCCCCGGTGGTCATGATTTGAACAATTTAAAATCTACACTACCCCAGGGTGCTTCTTCATAAGTTTCAGCTTTTCTGGCCCAGTGGTTCTTGAGAAGAAGATTTTCAATGAATTTTCCTATATATTTCTATGTAAAACTTTGATTCCCCATTGTGGCCCCGCCCAACCCCCGGGGGTCATGATTTGAAGAATTTGGAATGTACACTACCCCAGGGTGCTTCCACATAAGTTTCAGATTTTTTGGCCTAGTGGATCTTGAGAAGAAGATTTTTAAAGATTTTTCCTATATATTTCTACATATGTAAAACTTTGATTCCCCACTGTGGCACCGCCCTACACCCGGGGGGTCATGATTTGAACAATTTAAAATCTACACTACCCCCAGGATGCTTCCACATAAGTTTCAGATTTTCTGGCCCAGTGGTTCTTGAAAAGAAGATTTTCAAAGATTTTTCCTATATATTTCTATGTAAAACTTTGATTCCCCAATGTGGCCCCACCCTACCCCAATGATCATAATTTAGACAATTTGAAATCTACACTTCCCCAGGATGCTTCCACATAAGTTTCAGCTTTTCTGGCCCAGTGGTTCTTGAGAAGAAGATTTCAAAGATTTTTCCTATATATTTCTATGTAAAACTTTGATTCCCCAATGTGGCCCCGCCCTACCCCCGGAGGTCATGATTTGAACAATTTATAATCTACACTACCCAAGGATGCTTCCACATAAGTTTCAGCTTTTCTGGCCCTGTGGTTCTTGAGAAGAAGATTTCAAAGATTTTTCCTATATATTTCTATGTAAAACTTTGATTCCCCATTGTGGCCACGACCAACCCCCGGGGGTCATGATTTGAAAAATTTAGAATCTACACTACCCTAGGGTGTTTCCACATAAGCTTCAGCTTTATTGGCCCAGTGGTTCTTGAGAAGAAGATTTTTTAATGACCCCACCCTATTTTTGTTTTTTCTTGATTATCTCCCCTTGTGAGGGGACTTGGCCCTTCATTTTAACAATTTAAATTTTCCTTCACCCAAGGATGCTTTGTACTACGTTTGGTCAAAATTGGCCCAGTGGTTCTTGAGAAAAAGTCGAAAATGTGAAAAGTTTACAGACGGACGGACAGACGGACGACGGACAAAATGTGATCAGAAAAGCTCACTTGAGCCTTCAACTCAGGTGAGCTAAAATATTTCCGTGTCATAAATAATTGTTAAATCAATATCTTCCTTGTTTAAATCCTGTAAATATGTTTTGTATCACTATCTACGAAAATTAACTACTAGGATTTAACTCCCCTTTAATGCTCTCCAGACAGAGAAGCTAGAAAAGAGAAGGGAAGTCCAATGGTGGTCAAAACATGATTTATCATAATGAGCCTAATGCAACTTTTTTGAAATACGTGGTCTGATCTTTTTACTCAAAATGACTTCCAATATTTTTCTGAATGATTTGATATATTTATGAATAAGAAATGGGTGTTCATTTACCATCACTACCAACCAAATTAAAATTAATGTCCTGCTGTGTGTGACTTTCATGATGGAGAATTTGATTGTAATTTTGCAAACACTTTTTATATTTATGAATGTGACATAGTTATATTGAACCATCTATATTCTCTGCAAAGTGGAGAAGAAATAGACAAGCATGTTAACGATGCTCACGTATGTCCTGAGTAAATATTAATATTATATCAAAGCGGGTATTTCACGGATGATAAAAACGTTCTTTCAATGAAAATGAACTTACCCTACCCTTTGGATACTACAATAATGTAAGAAAAATTCTTTTAAAATACATGTAGGTAAACAAAGCATGTATAAGATTATATCATACATATGAGTAAATGATGATCTTCATTAGTTACTAGACCCTTCTTTGGCAAGAAATATGTCCATAGGACATGAATGCCCCGCCAAGGGTATATTAGTAATGCAACATGAAAATTTGTATTAGTGTAGGAAATTTGATCAGAATATCTTGAATAGTGGTGAGTTGAATTGCTTAGTATGTGTTAGCATATGAAGTTTGACACTAATTTCATTAAAATGAGGTCAAGGGCAAAGGAAATGCCAAGGTCAAAAACTGTAGATGCAGTTGAAAAGCTCTCATCAGTATGTTTCAGCATATGAAGTTGAAAAAAAATATTATAAATGGTTTCTTTATAACTGACTTAAAACAATTTGATAAAAGAGAGGTCAAGGTCAAAAATGTTAATACAGTTGAATTGCCTACATCAGTATGTATCAGCATATGGAGTTTGACACTAATTTAGGAAAAGTGGGGTCAAGGGCAAAGGAAAGGTCAAAGTAAAAAATGTTGATGCAGTTGCATATCTCTTATCAATATGTATCAACAAATGAAGTTTGTTAAAAATATCTAGGATGATTTCTTTAATCAAAACTGACTTAAACACAATTTGATAAAAGGGAGGTCAAGGTCAAATAAAAGGTCATGGTCAAAAATGTTGATGCAGTTGAATTGCTCTCATTAGTATGTATCAGCATATGAAGTTTGACACTGATTAAGGAATAGTGGGGTCAAGGTCAAAGGAAAGGTCAAGGTCGAAAATATTTATGCAGCTGAATTGCTCTCATCAGTATGTAACATGCTGTTTGATAAAAATATCTTGAATGGTAATTTTAAAAACTGAGCTAAACACTAATTAAAGCTAAATGAGGTCAAGGTCAAAGGAAAGGTCAAGGTCAAATAAAAGGTCAAGGTCAGAAATGTTGATGCAGTTGAATTGCTTACATCAGTATGTATCAGCATATGAAGTTTGACATTGATTTACGAGGTCATGGTCAAAGGAAAGGTCAATGTAAAAAATGTTGATGCAGTTGTATATCTCTCATCAATATTTATCAACATATATAGTTTGATAAGAATATCTAGAATGGTATCTTTAAAATTGAACTAACACACTAATTAGAGATAAGTGAGGTCATGATCAAAGGAAAGGTCAAGGTCAAAATGGTGATGCAGTTGAATAGCTCTCATTAGTATGTATCAACACGTGATGTTTGATAACACCATCTTAAATCTTATGTTTCAAACTGAGCTAAACACTAATTAAAAGATAAGTGAGGTAAAGGCCAAAATGGTGATGCAAATGAATAGCTCTCATCAGTACGCATCAACACATGAAGTGTGATAACACCATCTTAAATGGTATGTTTAAAACTGAGCTAAACACTAATCTAAGAAAAGTGTAGTCAAAGTCAAACGAAAGGTCAAGGTCAAAAAATGATGATGCAGTTGCATAGCTCTAATCAATATCTATCAGCATATGAAGTTTGATGAAAATATCTTGGATAGTTTCTTTGAAACTTAGCTTTGCACAGAGCTAAACGCAGAATGTGAAGGAAGGACAGACGGAAGGACGGAAGACGGACATGACAAACACTATATGCCCCCGGCCATATTCATGGCGGGGCATAAAAATCTCAGTAGTTATTTAAAAAGAAGTTTTCATAGGTTACGAAAATTTAATTTCAAAAACCCTAAAAACACTATTCAGCATTGCATTTTAGTGTCGCCTGCAGAGAAGTGCAGCACTAATGGATCACTTTACCCGGCATCTGTCTGTCCGTCCTTCTCTCACACCTTGTATCTCAAGAACTGTAAGAGATTTAGTTTTGATATTTTGCACGCTTATTGCTGGGCACAATGGCATTTGTAAATTGCCATGGTTACCGACCTCGTGACCCTTGACCTTGTCCTTTGAATGTTAAAAGTGCCAATATACAACATATTTTTGACATTTATGACCATAGCATTAGTTCTGGCTCAGAGGGGATAACAATGCAATATTCTGATAGCATTGGATTGTTAAACTGTTAAAAGGGGCTGGGTGGTTGTGGCCATTTTCAGACTATTTGGGTCTCCTTTAGAAGAAGAGCTTCATGTAAAGATATACAAAATGATCGAATTTTGAAACTAAAATGCATGCAATTTTTCTTTGCCAAATGATAGTTGACATCTTATGATATCATATCTAAAAAAAAGTAAGTTCTATCTGATGGTTTATTTGTTGCCACCCCGACCTCCTTAAAAATGCATCTGAGTAGCATATTCAAAATTAAACGCTGAAATAGTAAAGTTTTTATAGCACTGGAAATCTATACTTACATACTCTTCATACTGAAAAAATATAATTGTGATATTTTAAAAATTGATAAATTGATATGACAGAATTCTAAAACACAAAATATCACGAATAACACTAGTAATCTGAGATTATGTTGATCGATGTAATGTAGATAAAAGAAAATGAATAATGTTTGATATTTTTACTTCAAAAAAGTTCAAAACAAGCAAATGAAAACTTACAATTCTACGGGGAACTTTAACGTTTCCATTCTGTTGCCTTCCCTCTAAGAAAAATTTTTAAAATAAAATATGAAATTATCATTTGATATTTTCACGTCATTTTTCATGCTACTGAAAAAAAGAAAGACTGACAGAAGTAGATACGAATTTGTTTAAATATCGTTTTAGTATCGCCTGCGGTAAGGAATCGCTTTACCCGGCGTCTGTCTTTCTATCCGTCTGTCTGTCTAGCTGTCTGTCACACCTTGTACAAGAACTGTAAGAGACTTAGTTTTGATATTTTGCACGCTTATTACTTGACACTATGGCATTTACAATTTGCGATGGATACCGAATTCGTGACCCTTGACCTTTGAAAGTTAAAAGTTCCAATATACAACATATTTTTGATATTTCAAATTTTATGCTATTTAGCATGTGCACTGATTGTCATAAAAAATTATGAAAAATACAAAATGAAAAAAGACAATAAATAATGTCCTGAACTGTATGACGTACAATACAGATATCATATGACATTAAGCTTGATTTTTTTTCGTATTATTGAATCTTTAATGAATTTATATAAATTTATGTCACCACTTTTTATCACATAGTTTCATTATGAGAAGTTTGGAAACAAGGTTATTCAAGACACTGCATTAAAAATAAGTGGTAAAGAATCAGTAAACTAGAGTGAACTTAAACGCTTCATGTAGGCACAGGCACTTGTGATATGCCCCCCCCCCCTTTCAATCTTTTTAAATTTTTTTTTAAATCTGGGTTCGAGTCACCTTTTTCCTTATTGGGGGTCCATACCCCAAGTGCCTGTGCATTTAGGCTGCTGTAAAAATCGTTAAGAAGCCCAAAGAAATATTCACTGAATATGTAAAATTTACGGCAACCAATGTCTGTTTTATAGACAAATGAGCAGGTGGATTTCAACGATAAAAATTATATAATGGGCATCAAAAATGGATACAGTCCTTGCCAATAAAAAAAAATAACAACTAATGTACTGTTTGCCAAATTTTAACAAATAGTCACTGTTGATGTATAATTGAATTTAAGACACAGCAAATTCGACATCATTTCGTGAGTAGTTCACACTGTTTAAAAGAAACGTTTGAAGTAAAAAAAAAAGCTTAGTACTGAAAGGTCACCCTATGTTTTGAAAAATGATTGAAAACGACAGCATGTAAGAATATCTACACAATTATTTTAAAATATAAGTAAATCCACGTTTGTTTTAAATTCAAACGGGTAATGAAACTTGAATCTATTGCTTAAAACCCTCAAAACAAAATTTACAAGAAGATGTAATTGACTAAAACAGCAAAGGTCAGAGAAGAGCAAAGAACAGCAAGAGCACAAAGACAGATTAATATACATTTTTCTTAAATATTAGTGGTCTTGTTGTACAAATTCATATTCGGGGAGGCAGTTTATTTCTGGAAGAGTCTAGAAAGCAAATTTTTTGCAAAAAAATTGAAAGGTTAATGAGAGGAAGGAACCAGAATCAGGAATCCCCTACATTAAATTTCTTCATGACAGCGTCCAAACCCACACGCCCTGAAGAGTAAAGGAGTTTTTTGGGATTAACAGGAAGTTATTTTTTCACATTAACAATAATCGCCAGATCTTTCGCCTTTTGAATTGTTTCATTTTTTCAAACTTGAGAAAAAAAAACACCTTCCAGAAGAAAACGAGTCCAGGAAATCATAAGATCTGCCATTTTCCAGTGTACTAAGGGTCACATCCATAAATGAGTTCTAAAAACAATCAGAAATTGGATAAAAAAAAATTATGGACATGTGTTATGATTAAAAAGAGAATATTATGTTAAATCATTAAGACTAAATCATTAAAAAGCGTCTTTTACTTCTTTCTGAGCACCAAGGACATTATTTATCTAACAGCCCTCGTAACTCTAACTGCAGAAAATACCATAGAATCAGAACTCTTTAGTGTGAAGCGTAGAGAGGGTTTTTAACACATGTAATATAATAAATATTTTTTACAATGAATTCAACTTAATTATTCATTCGAAGGTTTGGAATAAATATTTTTTTTGATTGACAGACTCCACAACATTTTTTTTTCTATGTGTGTATGTTCATGTTCATGTTTTTTTGCATGAAATACTGTATATGCTGGAAGCATATAATTTCAAAAACAAAATGAAGAATCGGTACAGTTTTTTGGCATATTTAAAAGTAAAAATTCAAAAAGATATCGCAAAACATTTCACAAAACAATGTTTATATAATAGTGTTGCATTATGCATGTACTATGCCTAAATAGTAGGCAGGGTTTGACACATGGTGCACGAGCCGGAGGCGAGTGCACTATGTGTCAAACCCTGCCTACTATTTAGGCATAGTACATGCATAATACAACACTATTGTTATTATTATGCTGACTGTTGTTATTATTTATGCGACAATCCATTTGTTTTTTTTTCCTGAAAATAATGGTGGTAACACAGAGCACTTGCAAAAACTCATTCAAAATCTTCATGCTAAAATTAGTTGCATGCTTATTTATTTTGGTTACTAGTATTTTCTCTAAATAAGTCAGGATTTTCTGTCCCAAATATACTCATCTTTATTTTCTGTTTTGTTAGTAAGACTGATTTGATTACAGACGTGGATTCTCATTGATAATTTTCTTTTACATCCTTCAATCAAGCGCTATATAAAAAAGCGTTTTAATGACCCCATGATATCAATTCATCTAACGATCTGTATGTAATTAGTTTGAAACTTTGTTGTACACATTTATCTAAGATTCCTTAGAATAAATATAACTGTTTTCAAATAATATTTGTCTATTTTCTCCTTCTTGTGTCAATTGTATAAATTAAATTATATATTTAATAAAATTTTCCCAATCAGTGATTGTCTCTGTGGCGTAATCGATAAGGCATCGGATTGGCAACCTCATGGTTGTGAGTTCGGTTCCTGGTGAGTGCAATGAAGAATTTTATTCAGAAAATAAGGCCGTACACTATTTCGGCATAGTATGCTTACGCTATATAAATCCTTAGACCACTATGCGAGAATAGTAGGGTATGGGTTATATAGAGACAAACTGACAGGAAGCATAATAATTTGCGATATTTTTGATTTTTACTTTTAAATATGCTAGAAGCATATATATAGCTGACCACTAGCTCTTAGATTTAATTATTAAAGAAGGTAAAGGCAGGCGTCACATGCGTTCCTTGTCCTTCGAAAACAAATTGGGTCAGTACTTAAATTTCAAGTATTTCTATTTTCAATATGCCTGGTAATCATTACGTGTTAATGGTATGCTAGAATAGTATGATGGTACAATAGCAAACGGTCCAAGGTAATTCAAGAACCGATACCATCGAGGCTTGTTCGAAAAACGTAAATCAGTTTATTTTAATAACTGCTCCTACCATCCAATAATACTTGATAGGGAGCAACATCAGGTAGATTCTGTGGAAGTTGTGGACTTCTTCTTGATATGTTTCCTCCTATTAAAGTATTCTGGTTAAATGTTTCAGGATTCGGTATTGCAGTTGTAACGGGAGAGGAGAAAATGCAGCGGACCAGACCGGGATTCGAACCCGGGCCCCCTGAAACTCCGGTCAGGTGCTCTACCGAATGAGCTATCTGGCCACCGGCGATCGAACCCGGCTGACCGCCACATTCCTCCCTCCTTAAAGGTCTTTGGCCCTCCAAGGACCCCAACCCAGGCTCATCCCTGGCAGGTCTTTCACCTGTCAATTCCAAATCCTGGTCACGGCACCACATGTAACGGGAGAGGAGAAAATGCAGCGGACCAGACCGGGATTCGAACCCGGGCCCCCTGAAACTCCGGTCAGGTGCTCTACCGAATGAGCTATCTGGCCACCGGCGATCGAACCCGGCTGACCGCCACACAGTGTTGTCTTCAATTGATAGCACCTTTGATCCTCTATCTTCAAAAGAAAATATTCATTTATTAAAAAAATAAATATGCAATTTACAATAAACATAGTACATGTAATCTTGTAACCATTATCATTTATAATGCCTCTATTTAACAAGTATCCTGAGAGTGAGAGTATTGCATAAGCAATACATGTCCCCTACCGGGTTCCCCTTTTTCTTCAGGGTGTCATTTTTAAATACAGATATGCAAAAAGTTATGACCAAGGTAAAACTGCTTGATTTTGAGGTTGTGAATGTCTTTAAGCTAACAAAATAATCCACATTAAGACGAAAATTCAACTAATTTTTTCAACATCTTTTTCTCGCTTCATATTTACCATGTTGACTATCGGTATTTAGCGCAGCACGAACCCGATCTTAAACCATTATTGAAAATTTAAAATGCCATAATTCTGTCAAAAATCAATGAAGCGAAACAGTAACTTATTAAGATACACTCACATACCAAAATTCAGCGAAATATCTGCAAGCATTTAGAAAAAAAATTGCGGAAAACCAAGTAGGACAGACTGACTGACAGACATGTGGACAGCTAGATGGACAGATGCAGAGGAAACCTATAGTCCCCTCCGGTTTCACCGGTAGGGGACTAAAAATCGGTTTTTCGTGGACGATTTTCCTATCGAGTACAAGGGTACTCCATAAAAATGTAAATACAAGTGTGTTGATTTTCTTCAGTACACTTTATCTCTATTAAAAACCAACGATGTCTTTAATTGTACCTGCTTTCGCGAAAGTGAAGTACATTACATATCATTCGCCTGTCTGTCTGCTAGTCTGTCTATCACAAGAACCCTAACCTTAAGCTTGGTCATAACCCTTGAATGAGAAGGAATATGGTTTCCGTATTTCACGTGTACATTGTCATTGAGAAGACTTTTTCAAATATGCTATATTTATCATTTTGACCTCATGACCTTGAAGTTTAACAACATTTTTTATAAAACTTTCAACCTATTAAACTTATGATTGGCCATAATCTTTGGATGAGAAAGGAAATTGCTTCCATAGTCATATTAATACTAGTATAAGAGAAACAGAGGACTGATATTTATTCAACTAAACCCACTGTAAGACTGTGTTTTACCTCTCAAACAAAACTGTGTTCCTTTACTAAATTACCCTAGCTAGCTAGCTCTGGAAAGAATACGTAATGAATAATTCTAAATTCTACAAGCGGTTTTTCTAGGCACAAAGCATGATGGTAAACACACAAGGTTATCAAAAGGTTTTAAGAGTATACTTAAACTATGATTCAGTCCTATTTCCTTATTCAACATTTTGTCGTATATGAATACGTCATTTTCGAGGTAATGTAAATACATTTTGTATTACCGCTAAAAATTATTGTATATATGAATGCAATTTTGTAATGACCTCACATATTTTTACCTATTTCTGGGTTCTTTTTCAAAATAGTCAAGAAAAGATTTTCGGGGAAGTTCACGAGGGAGAAAGTAAATGTTTCCGAGGCCAAGTTGTAAAAAAATACTCAGTGACCTTGCGTGAAAAAAATTAAGTGGTTACAAAGATCTACTACTAAAGAAAAAGTGTTCTCTGGTTTAAAGTAATCTTGCAAAGAAATCAAAAACATCAGTAAAACGCACATCACTTTTGCTTCTTATATAACAGATTCTCTTTGTTTAAAATATGAAATTTATTTACCTGCACGTTTAGATTTTCTTCGAAAACATACGCACACAATGAGAAGAAAAGTTGTTATAAAGGAGGTTCCAAAGAGAAATATCAAAGTTTCTGTGGTGAGAGTCTTGCCTTCTCTCATGTTTGGAATACGCCTTGGATACAGTGCTCTAGAATAAATTAAAGAAAACATTCATTAGATTATTAATTCAAAGCTAACTTGGCTTACAAAATTTATTTCCTAAATGGAAGTCAAGTTGGACTATTTGAGGGTGCAATTTTATCCTCAATATTATACTCTTTTTATGTAAACGGTTTTGAAATGCATTTGTTAAACGAGAATTGTCCATCAATTGAAATTAATTCATTTAATATATTCCCTATTATGTATGCTGATGATACTGGTAAAAATTTATTCGCAGAAACACCCAAAGCTTTACAACAAATACTTGACTCTTTGCATAATTATTGCAAAAATGGAATCTAACTGTAAATGCAGATAAATCTAAAATAATGGTTTTTTGAAATGTAGGAAAAATTTAAAAAAAAATGAGAGGTGATTTTACGACGAAAAAGAATTAGAAATTTAATAGTAAATAAGTATATTTATCATTAAATTATAATAGTAAATTTTCTAAAGCACTACAGAAGCTTGCAGAGCAAGTAAAATAATAATAATAAATAATAATAATAATAATAATAGTAAAATAAATGATTATTACTATTTTAATTTTCAAACAAAATGTTCAGTTTTCGACACCTATGTCAATAGTGTGCTTTTCATGCTTCGGAAGCATGAGGGTTTAACAAAGGAAGTGATATTGAAAAAGCCCGTATTATCAGGGACCTATATACTTAGTATAAACATGTAGGTCCCTGATATTATGTTCTGTAAAAGAAGAAAAATGGGGTTAAAAAAGAATGCTACCAACAAGCTTGTTTATCTCGAACTTGGTAGATGTCTATGCCATATTCTAAGGAAAATAAAAATTATGAAATATTGGTTAAAGTTTAGAAAAACAGAAAATTGTATTCTTAAGACTTATTATGAAGAAATGATACAGGAAAATGGCGAATTGATAGATACACGAATACCAATAGAAATGATAGAAAATGTATAGTGTGTTTTCTGAATGAAATAGAAGATATACCTGTAAATTTCATTTTACAATGTCCTACATATGAAAATTTAAGGAAGAAATATATTTAAAAATATTTACAATTCCAATGTCTTTGTCCGAGATAAAATTACCAATTGTAAATGTACTTTATTTCCTCATCAATGTATTGGCGCGGTTCCAAAAAAAAAAAATCACGTGCAGGGCGGGACAAACAGCTAGACAGAAGCAGGGCTTGGAGCACGTGGATTGGCGGAATCAAAGCATGTAAATATAAGGAATAACTGTCAGATTTCTCAATTTCATGAAGATGATCAATCGATTGGTTTGTGTGATAATTTTATGCATAAACGCCTTCGGCGTTTTTGCAAATTATCACGCAAGCCAATCGATTGATCATTTCATGAAATCGAAAAATAAGACAGTTATTCCTTAAATATTATTATCAAAATAGTAGTGTATATAAATTCGAATTGTAAGGGAACTAAGGGGTCTTGGGAATTTTTTAAGAGAAGCATATCATATACGGAAAAGTAAATATTAATGATTTTAAAATATTGATTTACTATCATAATATTACTCTAATATCTATGAACAGATATGCACAATTATGAATGATTGTGTATATGTTAAAATGGCAATTATGTATATTGTATGCTCTTTATATGTTAATTTGATGTATCTGTTGATACAAGGAATAAAAGAATTTAATTTATTTTTATAATGCGTGTATTTTTATTGTAGATTGTGTTATATCACTTTTGATTGTGCTATTTATCATTGTGTATTTTAGGTATTGTAATTGTATTATAAGTATTTTAATTTTTTATAGAGGGCCTCAAGGAAAAATAGTGCTCGCACCAACTGACTCACCCTCTTTAAGTAAAGTATTATTATTATTTATACATATTTATTTTTCTTCGAAAATAGTGTTTCAAATTCTTTTCTATAGTGAGATTACACAGATAATATATCGATGATTAATGCATGCATTATGGTAAGAAATTATACATGAAGAAAAGAATGTATCAATAAATAAACAGACAGATAAATTTCCTAATGAATAAATAAGTAACTTAGTTCATTAGTTATTAGAATAAAAAAATAATTAAATAGAATAAATAAATTGTTCACAAAACTTCAATTAACAGTTGTTTTTTTTCCCAAGACTGAAGCCCAGTTATTTGCAAGACGTATTTTAGATTGTAAGACTTTCAAACAATTATTGCCAAAATGCATTATGAAAAGCCCCTAAACCACAACGATATAAATACAGCCATTTAAACTCATGTTTCACAAGTAAGGGGTGTGGCGATAAAACGAAAGTACATTCCAAAACTCGTATTTCAGTAGATATCTTTCAGATGTACATTTGAAACTATATAAATCACTTTCCTCTATTACAAGTGTACCAAAGGAACTTGTGATCAAACCATTTGTATAGTATTTATACAATGAAATATATTCAAACCAAAGAAAATATGTTTGCATCATATTACTACAGGTACTACATGTTCATAAAAATTTATGTTCCCCATACACGTTTTTTTTTTAAAGAAAATATGTTACTGTTACTGGATAAAAACCGGGTGTATACAGGATTGTTTAAACAATATCTAAAGAAAAATGTATCTTAACGTCTAAATAAAATTAAATGACTTACTACATCAAAAAGAAGCCGCCGTAATCATCAGGTCTGGGCGGCCTCCGTGTTTGGAGAATAGCTAGATTCAATATGGCGACCAAAACTTTTACCATATATGGAAACTGCAATGCAATGTCGGATAGTTTTTCTTCTGATTTCATAGGATAACACAGGTAATTTTCGAACGTTTCGTGCCTACCTTTAATCAAAAAGTGCAAACATCAGTGTACAATTGAATAAAAGATCAAACATTAAACTATCTATTGTATGTGGCGATTTGAGATTCTGTGTCTAGACTATTTACAATACGCTGTCAAAGTTGGCACTTCTTGCGTTCCATTTCTACTTAATATTTCTTGTTATTTTGTTTAATTTTGTTTTTTCCCTATCGGGACAAATAAAAAGCCACATAGATGCTCAAACAATACATAAATAATATTACTTTCATATTTTCTTTTAATATATATATATATATATATATATATATATATATATATATATATATATATATATATATATATATATATATATATATATATATATATATATATATATATATATATATATATATATATATATATATATATATATATATATATATATATATATATATATATGTACAGTATGATGCAATATATATTCGGACAAGATGGCGACGTGTTTACATTTTCATCCTGTAACTTACATATTTTGATGTAAATAAAAAAAGTTTAAAAATATCGTTGGTATTTTGCGTAGTTATTTTTAACCTCCGATGGCCATGTGACATTTGATATGTCACGTGATTTTATTTTCGTCTGCTTTGTTTACAAATTTTGACGACTGAAAGTGATATGGGTAGAAAAGGAAAAGAACTCAGTAGTGAGGTGAAAGAAGTCGCCAAGAAATTACTTGATGAGGGAAAAACTGTCAGGTATGTGGCAGATGTTCTCGGTGTATCCCACTCCACCATTGGATCACTGAAAAAACGTTTTGAAGAGAGAGGTTCAGTGGAAAACATCCCGCGAAGTGGTCGACAGCCTACTGTGACAGAACGTGACTATAGATGCTTAGAAAGGTTAGTTAAAGTTAACAGGAGGGACAGTCTAACAGAAATCACAAATAAATTTAATGAAAACAGGAATATTCCCGTATCTAAGCGTACATTACAACTTCATTTACATAAACATGGATTTACAAGACGTGTATCAAAGAAGAAACTAGTGATAGGGGAGGTAAATCGAAGAAAGAGATTGTCATGGTGCCGGGAAAAACGAAAGTTAACAGTGGAAGGATTTTGGAAGAAAGTTATTTTCTCGGACGAATCAAAAATTGTTATTGGACGTGATTCAAGGGTGTATGTTTGGCGTAAGAGGGGTGAAGGGTGGAGGCCTGATTTGGTGACTCAGCGCCGTTCGAAACCATGCTTTGAGGTCATGATCTGGGGGTGTATTACTTGGCATGAAATTGGTACCATCACGGCTGTAAATGGAAATATTAACGCTGAAAAATACCAGGATATTCTTGATAACAATCTGTGGCCAGTTATAGCTCGCCATTTTCCATCTGGTGACTATATATTCCAGGATGACAATGCCCCCGTACATCGTGCGAGAACTACCCAGGAATTTATGCACAGAAATAGAATAACTGGAATGAGCTGGCCTGCACAAAGTCCCGATATCAATATCATCGAGAATCTATGGTTACTTATCAAGAGAAAGTTACAGACACGAGTTGGGAGGATCGCGAGTAAGGATGATCTATTCCACGAAATCCAGTGTATTTGGAGGGAGATCAGCCCAGACTTCGTTAAATGCCTCTACCGATCTATTCCCCGGAGATTAATGAATGTTATTCGTCTAAAAGGGCATCTCACAAAGTACTAGGTAAGTTTCATTATTTATTTCATGTTTTTTACTGCAATATCTATACTCGAAAATTGACCTAATTTCGTATCGAATGTAAACACGCCGCCATCTTGTCCGAATATATATTGCATCATACTGTATATATATATATATATATATAAGACTCCAAAGTCCGATGGCGACGCCAAAGTCCGATGGTCTCGCCAAACCCCGATGGTCTGCGCCAAACCCCGATGGCTCGTTGTCTTTACGGATGCCAAAGTCTGATGGTCACGCCAAAGTCCGATGGCTCGTTTCCTATGAGACGCGCGACGCTAAAGTGCGATGGTTTGACACGCCAAAGTCCGATGGTGCGGAGGAACAATTAACGTTTATGACGTAACAAAAGTCTGACGTCATGACGTTATTCTGCATTCAAAATTCATTGATTCAGTATTCATCTCCCATACATTTTCACTGATATTGCTTATTGTTTTCACCCACCGCAGGTAGTAGGGTTAATCCTCGTACACAATTCGAGTGGTAAGGGTTAGTCCTTGAACACTTATGTGTTTCTTCGAACCCACACGAGAGATTTAAGGGTTATTCCTCGCACACTATTGGACTGATTTAGATTAGTCCTGCACCCAGCTATGATATTTAGGTTAGAGTTGATACTCATTGTTCGACTGATAAGTCTTAGTTTTGCACCTACATCCAAAAGACGGGGGTTGGTCTTTGTATTTATGATAATTTGTATTTATTTATTGGCATGGCGTGGCATCGCATTTTTAGCGCAGTGGTACTATGACGTCATAAAAGTTAATTGTTTTCTGCACCATCGGACTTTGGCGTGTCAAGCCATCGGGGTTTGGCGTAGACCATCGGACTTTGGAGTCCCATCGCACTTTGGAGTCCTACTTATATATATATATATATATATATATATATATATATATATATATATATATATATATATATATATATATAGTTCTATCTCTTAACGTATAAGTCTTTTAATTGTTTAAGAAATTTCAGATGCAGCATCGTTAATAAACATTGAATCAATATTTTGTTTCACTAAAAATATTTTCAAGGGCGATAATGGAAAGATAACTATTGTTGATGGATGCATATTATTTTACATGCTCAGAAAACTATTTGATATTCTGGTTTAAAAAGAAACGTTTCATTTTCATTGTAAATCAAAATTAGATAGGCATGACATCATACATTATTTTCACACATACCTCATAATTTTAATAAATTATCACATACCTCATAATTTTAATAAATTATGAGATAAAAAATAAATGACATTTCTATTTGCCACATCAAATTTTCTTCACATCATGATTAGACATAATATCCATTTTTGAAAAAGTAAGCAACGCTCCATACTACAAACTATTTAAAATTTCCATTTGAATCTAATGCCATTGCTTGTGATGAAAATCAATATTTCGAATTTGTACTTGCCGAAGGCTCAAATGAGCTTTTCTGATCAAAATTTGTCCGTCGTCTGTCGTCGTTGTCGTTGTCATTGTAAACATTTTACATTTTCATCTTCTGTCTGAAGAACTACTGGGCCAATTTCAACAAAACTTGCCTCAGAGGTGAATGGGATTCAAGTTTGTTCAAATGAAGGGCCACGCCTTTGTTACAACGCACTTTGAAAAAAATTTCAAAATGCGTTAAATTTGGGACCGAGCTAACGCACTTTGAAAAAAATTAAATATCTTTTCAAAGTGCGATAATATCGACCATATTAACGCACTTTGAAAAAAAAATTATGAAGAGCTTGATCAATATTCTGACAAATTTTCTGTATGGTAAATAATTGATCCTGGTTGGTTAACTTTTTGGTCATAAGCTTAAGGTCACTTGAAGACCTGAGATACATTTAACAGTGGGACGGACAACTTCGGAATGGATATTTTTCCGAACCTGCGCACCTCTTTCCTGTAAAGCTATCCTTTAAGGATTTTTTTAAATGGTGGATTTTTTCACCTTAGTGCATTTCTGTAATAAGAAATGCAACATTATCTGGTAGTTTTTGAGATATTTAGTGTCAAAAATAAAAACCCCATCGGCAAATATGTACTTAAAATTACCCCCATAAAAACCCCACAGAAAACCCCTGGGATTTGAACCCAGCCCCCCCCCCCCCCCCATGGGAGAAATAAACCCATAGAACTTTTTGTGGGGTTTTTAACCCCATATATGATTAAAAATTACATTTGGGTATTTTCCCCACATTTTACCTGCATGGGGTATAAAATCCCATAGAATGTTCTTTATATTTCTTTATTTTCATATTTGGAATAATGGATACATTATATTATTGTCAATTGCCTTATTTTCAAAGTAACTGATTGAGACAAGTCTGTTTTATAGTAAAATAAATTATTGTGTTATTTTTCACACCCTAGTACTTGTATAATTCTAAAAGGTACTTATATATCATTATATTTAACATGTTTAATGTTACAATATATTTCTTTAACATCTCTGAATTATTATTATTATTATTATTATTATTATTATTATGACAACTGCTAACATGATTAATTAATGAATCCAACAATCTGGCAGTGTTTTGCTAAATTCTTAACACGTCTTTCAATTACAGTTGGGTCAAATTCACAGTATGTTGTAAGACTTGTACTTCTGTTATTGTGTTAAGTACCGTCTGATGTCATATTTGTTATAGCATCGCAAGCCTTTCTTACGAGGGACGTTCAATAAATAATGTCATTAGCTTGACTTTCTCTCATTATTGAATCTTTAATGAATTGATAACAGTTTATTTGACCACTTTTTATCGCATTATTTTATTGTGGGAAGCTGTAAAACAAGGGCTATTCGAGACACTGCATTAAGAATGAACGGTCAAGAATCAGTAAACTAGAGTAAAATTAAACGCTCCATCAAAGCAGCTGTTAAACTTGTTAATATTCCAAATATATATTAACTTAAATATGTGAAATTTACAGCAACCAGTGTCTGTTTTATAGACACGTGAACAGGTGGATTTCAATATAAAAATTATATAATGGGCATCAAAAAAGGGTACCGTCCTTGGCAACAAGGACTTACAACAACCAATGTATATTTGCGAAAATTCAACAGATTAGCACTGGTTATGTTTTATTGACTTTAAGACACATAACAAAATTGACGGAAATTATTTTGGGGGTAGTTCACACTGTTTTAAAGAAACATTTGATAGTAAAAACGTTTAATACTCAAAGGTCACCCTATA